TGCTTAATTTATATTTTTAAATAGTTAATTTTTTTTTTCATTTACGTTTAATTATAATTTCATTATGAATAATTAATTTTATTAAAAAAGTCTTATTTTAATATATTTATGAATACAAAATGTGTATAGTCAATTAATTTTGAATGATCTTACAATTTAAATGAGACATTTTTTTGATCCAGCCCCCCCCCCCCCCCCGAGCATTTTAAGTTTTTAAACATTGAATTGGAGTTTAAATCATTTTCATTTTGCAATCTCGGTTATGTTTCAATTTACAGATCAGAAAGTATAGGTATGTGCTAGATTTAGTTCTGTATGTCAGTGGCGTAATTGAGAATGTTTTATGGGTGGGGGGGGGGCTCAAAATTAATTTGTACAGCGAACTTGTGGGGGGGCTTTGCTCCCCACACTTCCCCTTATCTACATTTTGTATAATTTAATAACTCAACACATATCAATATAATCATTCTATATTACATAATACTATACATTTACAAATATGTTATAAATTATTTTACAATATTATGTCCAGATTTCAGGACTTTTTGGCAAGTTCATCAATGACCTCTTCATTTGAAAATGTTATGTCACTATGAATTGCCAACATTGCCAGACAATTAAGTCTTTCCAACAAACAAAATTAAAACATTTTTCTTATTAGATATTATGAAAATGTATTTTATTAAACAGTAAGTACAGGTGCACAGGTATTATAATTACTAATCCTTGACATACTGTTTCGAAGATATATTTTAATTCTTTTAAGGCTAGAAAACATTCTTTCAGGCGTACTTGTAGAAACGGAAATGTGCATAGTATTTAATAAATTGCAAATAGGTAGAACATTATTCGTCATCTAATTTGACATTATATCAAACTTTAAGTAACTTGTGTTTGTAGGGTGGTAATACTATTTCAATTTTTAAGCGAGGGGATGTAAAATATTTAATTTAAAAATGATAAAAACTTATAAATTAAGATATCGTAAAAACCAATCATAGAAGTAAAGACAATATTCTGACCTTTAAGCCACTCTAACATTAAAGCTTACAACCATATTGGTTTTGTCGTACATGCAAATAGTGGAATGGAGACAAAGCACGCGGGTATTAAAAGTATAGCGATCTCTTGAATTTAATACAATTTATCTAATATCCATGTACTCGTGTTAACATAATGACACTAGCCAATGTGAATGTTGATGAACGTATTTTTCAATTAATAATAGTTTAAAAACGTTTTCATACAAATAATAACAGTAAATAATATTCATAAATACATAAAATGTATAGAATTCTCAACAAAATGTATAAGACTAAGTAGTTACTAGTTATACTTGTACAGCTGAGTACACACGTATAGACTTACTGTATTATTTAAAATAATATTTCCCAATAACAACATGTACCATTTATGCCTATACATTAGGTACTCGTGTTACGTTATTACCACAAAGTTTGTATTTACAATCACTTATATTTATAAAATATGTCAATGAATTTATCACCTCCACTATACACCAGTATCTGGACTTAAACATTGTTATAGTTAAATTGTTCATTTGTTAAATAAAACTTGGCTACGACGGAAATTTATTATTTATTGATCATAAAATAAAATGATTCATTTATTTTTCATAGCACCGCTATTTTCTCATTTCATGTCTGATTAATTATAAACGATCAACTTTAATTATATAATTTAATTATAAATACGACCATTTGAAAAGGGGAATAACTGTATAACATAGGGAAAAAAATCTCTGATAAAAAAAATTGTTTGAAAAAAAACCATAGATACTGTCTGGTTGAATTACTGAAATCAAACGCCGACATACTACTGAAATGGAAATAATGGCTACACCATAATGTTATACGCTGGTATTTTTTAAATTTGTATATGCTATATGCGTTTTGTTTGTTACAGTAAAAGTAGTAGTGTAGTACAAATAAATGATAAAAATAACATTTAAAAATGTAATTCATCTTGTTGAGCGAGCTTCGTTATAGAGCAGCGGCAGGTAGCAAAAATGCAAAATACGATACTTACCGATTGCTTGTATACTAATATCTGTTTACTAGCAATATACAATTACGTATGTCGTACATGGGCGTATGCAAATATAACTATATTGATTTTAATGCACTGAAAACATTAATGACACAGTTGTAGTGGAACGGATCGAATGTACAATAATAATATTGAAAAGCTTATAATATATGAGCTTAATAATCTTAAAATGCGAATTCAGTAGTTCATAGTACGTAGACAATAAAACCTAATTAGAAGCGCACAAAGCCGAAACGCACCCGAGGCGCTGTATTTTCGTTTCGAAAACCATATTATTATTATTTAATGTATAAAAAATATATATGGACAAAACGAGTAAACATATTTTACTTTCCAAAAGCGTACGCCGAAGAACGCGTCTTCTGAACTCGCGCCGCACTGATAGAATAATGCGCGAAAGACTTCTCGATAAATACCTCAGCGACAAAGGTGACTTCAGCCGCAGTGACATTCTATATATTTTTTTAATCGTTATTATTTTATTAATGTTTTTTTTCCATCCCTCCCACTCCGACTGACTATAACTTGACTTGTTTACTTTTTATATTTCATTTCCTACCCTTAATGTCAACGCTGATGCGACGCGCTTTTATTATTCTCACCACAGCAGCCCAGTGGGAGGGGGCTCATAGTGGTGGGTGGGGGTCGCCTTATACGTCGTCACGCAGACCAGGCACGAGAAAGTACGATGACGACGACCCACCACCACCATTACCAACACAACCGACACCGTTGTGTGTGATTTTGCATTGCCACTCGCGGAGACCCACCAAAACTATATAATAATAAATAATAATAATATATATTCACGACCATCCACTCAACTCCTACCACCGAACTTACCCCATCCTAGTTCTGTCAAACCATCATCAATCTCCAGCCCGTCGAGCATATACTACCACGGTGGTATCGATATTATTTATATTATGATATTATTATACACAGTCGGTACTATTGCAGGGTTAAAGTATATTATATTATTTACGCGTTTAATGTATATAAACTGTACATTTATATACAAGCGGGAACGGAGACAGGTATATAGAAACAGTATTATAGGTCCATATACAATATAATAGGTATCTATATATATATATATTTATATATTGTATGATATTAAAATATGTACCTACTATATATTTAGGTGCAGCAATATAGCGGCGGTGTCGGTCCACGTGGTGTCAGATATTATATATATCAGGTCACAAAATGCGGGTTTATCGTCAAGATACCTTTTTCTTTTTATACATACATCATATACCGGCACTGCTATACTATAAAATGCATATAATAACCTCTCCTAACAGCCTCGAGACGACGCGTTAACCAATACCACATGTAATACGTACACTATACTTGTGTGTGCGAGCGGCGTGTAGGTATACGTTTTATATCCCCAACGTCCGGAGACTAATCATCCGTGATGGCCCGCCACCGCCGCCGCCGCCTCTGCCGAGCTTAACGACCTTCGTACGTACACACTCGCGTTAGATATCGCGCGCGACCGTCTCCTCGTCTGCCCGACCCGCCCGCTCGTCGCACACAGAGTGGCGCGACAACGACGACGACGACGACGACTACCATGTAGTGTATCTGACTAATACACACACGCGCGCATGCGCCGAAATAATCGTAAACGTATTAAGTGGATATTAGGTGTACGCACGTACAGGATATACGCGCGGCCGCGTTACATATATATAAGTGTATGTAACACGTACACCTATTGCAGCTCGTGTTATATATATATGTATTATTATTATTATTATTATTATTATTATTACTATACGATGTACTTTCCCCCAGCGTGTACCACACACGTACTATCACGTACACTCCGTGCCCGCCCACCCGACCCCGTCGCATAACGTCGTACGATTATTGTACGCGCATATTATACGTGTGTACACGCGTGTTAAATACGCGATGAGCGCGCGGTACTGGCACACGCGATATACCGCATTATACCATATACCATATACCACGGTGCCGCCGCCGCCGCCCTATTTAACGACTGTGGATGTGTGTATTGGCGACGGCGAAACGATTACGCGGTTTGCGTTTGCCGTATAATATTTGAAAACGCGCGTGTCTGCGCGATAACGAAATAGTTATTTCAGCTGTTATATGCTTCGAAATAGTTATTTTTAAACTTCAACCGTATAATAATATTATACTTACATTATAATAATGTTATATACGACAGTATCTATTCGCATGCCCGCGGGGCGGATGACACTCGGGACGCGCTTAATAATATTATACTCGCTGCAGCGGAGATATCATCTCAATGTTATATTATATAGTCTCACGATACGTATTGTTAAATGTTATGTTTATTTACAAAATATTCTCCACTGTAACGCGGTGAACTTTCTCATTTCGTCGCTGTACGTTACGACGTATATATTTTATACGCATATATATTTTAATATACTCCGTACGCCGGTGTATACATATTATATAAAATTACGTCACATAAAACAATCTAATGATATTATTTACGAGTTATGAGAATATACAACACGGTGTGTTTAGTACATGTCATGTGTATAATAATTATTATATAAGTAGTTGTATGGGCAGTACTAGTATAAAATTAATAATTACTAAACGTCTTATTATGATATACATTAGTTAAAGAATATTTTTATAGGTATTTAAAAGGTATAACAAATACTTAACAAGTATCAGTGGGAACGTATTTTTTCCACTACTGTGTTAGTGCAACGAGAAAAATGTTTCCGTGTCAACTTATTTCATATTCAGTGCTTAAGTAGTTCGTTTAAAATACACTCTATATTCAGTATAATAAATAATAATAAATCCATATTAAAATATATTGTGATGTGTTATATACCATATAATATGAACACTATCGCGGTGAGCTTATCGTGATTGTCTTCCATTAATCCCTGGCTTAATTTCAGGAAATAAATTACGACTCAGCTAGAGGCGGGGTGAGTGTGATCACGGAGAAAGGCGAAGTAACCACCAGTTATTTGCTCGTGCAAAGAGCGACCAGCACGGATTCGGGAAAATACACGTGTCACCCAAGCAACGCAAATCCTCACACCGTCGTTGTACACGTTCTTAATGGTAATTATTGTAATTTAATCATCATTCAACAGTTCAATAACTAAAAACAACAATATTGCAATAACAATACACGAACAATTTTAACATTAAGATTGTATCAATGTCAATCAATTATTATAATAAATAACTATGTACAACTGTACAATGTACTAAAGTTATATACTACAGTTATACGTTTATGGTTTCTTACCTATACTTGGGTTATAGAAACTTCTTGAAAATTACTTTTAAAATGTCATACTTGTCGTATATTCCTTAAATTATATAATCTCGTTTTCAAATTTTACATTTTCAGTAAAATGTCTATAAAATATGTAGTCAAAAAGTTTTTTTTTAATAGCTTATAAAACTGTGACTTGTGAGACTTATAATTATACCCATTCAAAATACAAAAACATATCAACATAAACATAACATGTACACAAAAAAATATTTGCATCCCTATATAAAAAAATTTACTTTCTATCATTATCGTTACAAATTGCATAAACGTTCAAAATATAAAGGTTAACTGATCCTGAGTTAAAATTAGAGCATGACGTCTATGAATAAATGAAACAAATACCTAACCTAACCATAACAAACTAATAAAGGTGTGGTGATATTATTATATATTTGTATATTTGAGATTAAATCCATACACAACATTGCAGCATAATATTTTATAATGAAGGCATATGACGTACTTGAGCTCCAGTTTTTTGAGTTTGAGATTACATCGGAAATATAGTATACATAGTATAGGAACTATACTATACTATACTATAGTATCTGTGTATTACAATATCTATGTCAACATAGTATACACATTATATTATTACAACGACAGAATAACTACTGTCCACGTAAAATAATTGTCCGTAGTCTACAAATGCACACGTTAAATTGAAGATTAAGGTTATCCATTAAGTTATACTGGTTAAATAAATTATAGCGGTAAGTCAACTATTGATCTCGATATTTTTTAATAAAAATATAATTTATGTTCATTCGCCGGCGCGTTGTATAGGCAATTTCGGTACATCGGTGTGTAGGTAAACGATGTACCATGCTGTTTTTGGTAATCGAATTCAATGTGTGACGACAATAACGTGACAACTGAATGTCAGTGTGCACATATTCTACTACAAACGATGTTAAAAAAAAAACGGAAATTTTACAGATTTAAAATATCTCAACAACGGACTGATTGTTTTAGTTTTACGCCCCAGTAAAGTTTTCTTAATCAGTCCATTACCCAGTTATAGACTCAGTTGTTATAGATTATTAGAAACTCCATTTCGGATGAATTGTAATAAAAATAAATGACTTTATAAGAAGGTAATCCAATTTCTATTTCATCGGTTTTATTTACCGCAAAAAAAACAACAAAATAAAGTATTCTAATCATTAAGAATGGTTATTATTTTTTTTTTTCACATATATGTATTCGCAAACCATCACTGTATAAAAAAAAGAAATAATATTATTTTAAAATGATATTTATTATTTACGATACAAGTTTGGCATTTCATGGTTACCATGCCTGATTATAATTCCAAATTTATAATTCACAATTTAAATTGATTAAAAATGAAAACTGAGGTATTATGCAAATATTAATTTTTATGGTCATACATCATATTAACCAAAATTAAAAATATAATATATAATGTAAAAAATATAATATATTGAGGCAAAATATTTTATTTTTGGCCTATAGCAATACGAAAAGTGTTATAAACTGAGAGCTTTGAGTTTTAATCCATATCCTTCATAAAACCTAATACTCGTATATTATATCATCACTTGTAACAAAATTGAGAATACCTCATTGAAAAATTGTAGTTAATAGTACCACACATTATTTAATATTATGCAATGTGTATTAATATATTGTGAGTTATATTATAGTTCATGAAAATAATACATAATCATGATTAACAATATTTTAATTATTTATGACAATATTTAAATTCAACAAAAATCTTTTGATCGCCTCTATACAATCGTACAATAAATGAATTTTATTATATCAATTAATAGGAGACAATAGAGTTTCAATTTTGAAATGTACAATAATAATACTAATTAATTAAACTTTTTCTTACGTTGTATGCCTTTTATAATATTTTCTTCCTTCAAAAAATATTTCAATATATACGTTTTTAGTTTTTACATTCAAAATATTATTAAGTAATTTTTATGTATACCTTTTGTTAAAATATAATTTCTTTTCGCATTAGGTACTTACTATATTTAATAAATTATGCTAACCATAATATGAAATAAAATTATTCAAAACTTACTGACTTTTATTTTAAGATTTAAAAAAAACGTATAGGTCAATAATATAAACGAATTCTCCATAATTATCTTCTTTCGGCTACAACTAAGCTCCAACCATTACTGATTCACTACATTTCTCTCAGTCTTGTACAACTTACTATTATATATCTTTCCAATACTGCACTCATTTTAGATATTTTTCTATGACATCGATGCACCTTTTTCGATGGTAGATCGTAATATTTTTCATTCCAGCTTCCAATCCATAACTAGTATTATAAATTGCTGCGTCCTTTTTGCCATTGTATTCTCTGACCTTCTATGAAATAATTGACTGGTGCCACTCTCATTCCCTTCTGTAATTCTCATTTAATTCTCAAGTGCTGAACCACATATCCTTTTCCATATTATATTTTCAATGGTATCCTGCAGTGTTCTTTCTGTGACACCTGTGGTTGTTCGTGTTCTACCAAGAACGACCGTAAGCCATGCGTTAGAGTGAACCTTAATTATGTTGTATACCTACAAACTTATTTTTGTACTATTTAGAATTTGTATTGAATTTTCTTTTATACTTGTATATATAATAACTTTTTTTTTAAATTTTTTTGATTTCAGGAGAGCATCCAGCGGCTATGCAAAAAGGTTCGAAGCTCAGCTTGAAATCTTCACTATCATTCCTCAGCGTTGGCTTGGTGTTATTTATTAGCACGTGATTTACATATTGTAATATAATATTATAAATAAATTTTGAACTGTAAAATACTAAAAAAAAAATTAAAACTTTTAAGTTGTACAATTATATGTATTGCTACATAATAATATATAATCATACCTATATTATATTTTCAGCGGTGCAATAACTGTATATTCAAACCATTGTTTACATTATAAATCTATATAAGATTTAAAAGTACCTACATACATTTTTGAAAAAAAGTACCCAACAATATAGGCATGATGTGTTTTCCCAAATATTTATTTTTTAAATTTTGTTTAGTGTAATTTTTAAAAATAAAAACTAAATGTTGTTCTATTCATTCTGTTTTACACAGAAACTCCTACAAAGATAAAAATAATTGTACACTTCAAACAATATTTTGTCTTCCAACAGTAATAGTTATTTCAACTAATTGATGCAATGATGCTCTATTAGTACCCTTATTAACCCAAAGTTAGAAAAATCATTATCAACGAAATCTATATTTCAACTGTATATTATTATATAATATACATATATATATATATAAATATAGATAATAATTTAATGTCAGAAAATATCAAAATTGGTTTTTGAAACAAATTCACAAAAAAAACTCGGTTATGTTTGGCTATAAATATATTTATAACTTATGGAACCATATTCATTTTATTTAAACAGACTGTTTTTTTCTTGACATTTTCCTCACAATAATAATATTTTGTAAATATAATTATTAATTAATTTTTAAATCATAATTTTTAATATTATGGTTGTAGGGGAATAATATTAAAATTTAAAATGTAATTAAATTAAGTCGGTGGTCAGAGACAGGGCCACATAACACACGAGTACCTAAATTCATTTTATACTGTATGTTTGTACAGTTTATACCCTCTATGTTACAGAAATAAAAAACTTAAATGATTTTTTTTTTTTGCTAAGTAATTTGAGAAACTATACAGAAAAAATAAAATAAATCTGTTCATTAATTTTTATACTAAAATTTCTCTATGTATTGCAATAAGTGACAACAAAATAATAGATATAATTTTTGAATAAAATGTCCATGGTTATAAATTTGGAAATAATACCTAAACTAGGAATTTATCTTCATCGGTCAATTTATAAAAAAGAATCATGAAATTAGCATTTAATATTAATTAAATTATATTTCCAACTTTTTACATAAGCTTCTATCAATGATCTTCAGCCGCCAAATATTCTACTATAATAAGTTTTATAACATATTTGAAATCAATAGGCAATAAGTCACCTTCATTATAATATATATATATATATATATTGTATTGCATATAATGCCAATTTAACTATAAAATAATAGTAGAACTAGTAATTCTATCAAATATTAAATTACCAAATATTATTGAGTCAAAAAACGGAATATTTTATAATATGAATATTGAATTCTACACATTGCTTTGTACATAATATCTTATTCGAGTATTTAAATAACTGGATGGCTTCAGTGCATATAAGTTTACCTATATAACCCAATAGCACATTTTAAATACGTGGAATATATATAAAAAAAATAACAAATAATGAATAATACCCATCAGTTATTAAAAGATTTATTTTTTTTTACTTCAACTCATCAAGGTAATAAAATATAACAATTTTAACATTTAAATAATATATACAAGAGTTCATTACCCTAAAAGATTGGTTGTATACATTTTTTTTTATTATTATAAAATTCTCCTAGCCCAGCCTACCTTCTTACATACAAAATATCACTTTTAAACAGTTACCAAAAATAATTTATGAGAACAACAATGCAGCTTATTGGTCAATATTTATATACCTACTACATATTTTGACATCTTAAAACAGTTATATAAAAACATGATATTTATTCATATATTTTGTTATTCATACTGACTGTTGGGTGGTATAATTGCATGCACATAATAGTTAATGAATATATAATTGAATATAGGTATATAATTGTAAAACGAATAATTTACACCACCAAAAATTGAGTTTAGGTATACTTCAGAGTTTCAGCCATAATTTTTAATTCTTATACATATATTATATGATTTTTTAACTGTATAGATAAAATATAAACTTAACATTGTTTTTGCATATGTTTTAATTTAATTATAAGATAACAATATACATAATTAAAAATGTGTAAAATAAATTATGTACTAATCTGCAAAATGAACGTTTATACTTATAATTATGCTTTACGCAGTTATTTAAACATTGTAAAATAAATAAAAATAAAAATATTTATGTACGTATCTATACTTGATAATTATTATACAGTTAAGCAAATATTATGATCTGTTATAACAATATTGATCATACATTAACTAATAACCTATAATTATTAAGGAAATATTAAATTTAAGTAATGGTGAATTTTTTTTTTAATTGGCACTAAGTTATAAAAATAATAGACAAACATTAATTTTTCAAAAAATTTTTATTTTTGTAAATAAATTAGTAAAGTACACTGTTTGTGAACAAATTTAAATATTTGTAGAGTTGAATAATTATATTTATTGTTTATTTTATTCTTGTTGTATACACCATTTCATACATTTTATCATCATGAAACATGTATAGTTATCTATAAAATTTTGTTAAGTTTTTCCTATTTTAATCTTTTCTTTTATATATATACATACAAATATTTATTCATATAAGTTAATGTTACCTACCTAACTAATCGTAATTTGATGTTCATTAAATGTTATTTTATTCTGAATTAATTCGTTTTTATTTTAATGTTATGGTTATCTTATGGATGATGCATTAATGCACAATATTCATAATAAACCTAAAATAATAACACTGTTAACTTATAAGATTACCCACAACCGATCTAAATCCTAATTTATATATTATATTGTAATAATCACATTTTACAATTGATATATCAGTTTATAATATTATCCATTGTACAGGCTATTTACCTACTTTTAGATTTTGAAACAATTTGGCCTCTTATATCAACGTTAGTTTGTTACTTGTTGGTTACTAGTAGCTATACCTACATATTTACATTGTTGATAGTGAGGTATTTAATTATTGTCCATACCTAGTTGAAACTCATAAGTGTTGCAAATACATTGTACGTGGGATTATAGCATTGTTTATTGCGTTGTATTAATAATTTTGAAACCAGGCATTTAGCACGCTATATTTTTTTATCATTAGCCTATTCATTAATCTTTTACAAAAAAAAATAATAATAATTGTTTTGGTGTAATTTATAAATACAATTTTTATAATTATGCATACACAAAATTTAATCATTTTTACGCTTTTCAAAACCAAGTTTCCCTGTTTACTAAGTTTATTCTTTTATAATAATTTGATTACAAAAGTTTATATCTAACTACGATATTTAAATCATTTTCTTCTGTTTCTTCGAAATTATTTTAATAGAATAACTAAATATTTTTTTGTTTTTATAAAAAAATTTCTAAAATAATTTAATATTTATGCAAATCCCATATTATATTAAGTTTATTTGCTCTCATTTTTCGAATGAAGAACGCATTCAAATCTTTTAAGCCAATATTTTTAACTTCACCAACCATAAGATGAAATAAAAGTTGATACTACGTAGTACGTGTACCTATACTATTCAAAATCGAGCAAAACACGTAATTATATATTTAAGTTAATATTTGTGATTGAAATGACAGCTAGTAGACGCGTCTAGACGATGGAAATTAAACTACAGCAGCAAAACATTCAAAATATTATCTATAATCATATTTGTAACATTATAAATGTCAGATCACTCAGATAATGAGACATCATCGACTATTATCAGCTAGTATAATAAGTGCATGTACCAACCATTGTAGGTACTTATCTACTATATAAGTATACTATATGTATACTGCATAAGTATATATACGAAATACGTGTACTAAATACTGTAACTATATTTTATGAATTCTAAAAATAAATGGATCTAGGCACCTAGTAAGTACTTGTCTATTTCGAATAGATGATGATGAATTGATAACCTTTTAAAATTTAAATATTTATGGACAAATCGAAAAGAAATTTAAAAGGTACTCACTGTACTTACAGAAACCCATAAGATAATATAGATAATCTTTTTCATTCTATAGGTATAGTAAAACCTTAAACTGTTTACGCTTAGTTTTTTTGATTTTATTCGATATGCCTATATGTTTTATTTTTATAATACAAATCTGGTAAGTCGTAGGTACATATTATGTATGAACAATAAGCACAACTGACATATATAATAAGGTTGAATGAGTCATGAATAAATAAGATGAAGAGACCTCTCAGTCGACGGATTTTATCCCCATAATATCAAATATAAATATTTTGTTAATCATGATGGGATAACAACAACACTGCACAAGCCACAGACAATGTTTCATGTCGATAACTAATCAAAAACAAACCTTACTGCTGGGGTTATGATAAATAGATAAGTAAATAAGTTCAAAGTATTAACAATAAACCATGATTCATGAATCAACGTTATCTTGTATTTTTAGCCCTTCTTTAGACTTTAGACATCATAAAAGTGAACGGAAAAAAACCACAATCAGGTTGACCGCATAATTATTTGTTTGAATTACTTACTTGGTTTATAATAAAATGTATCGTTTTTTCTTCTGTTTTTCACTGCCACGGAAACCATTAATTCAACGGTTAAGATATTAGGCTGTCTTGGCGAAAAGAGTTGACGGTTTAAAAACTCCTGGCTGACAAGGGCTTATGCCGGCGACTACACTGTCAGCGTGATGAATTGAAGTGTTTTCTATTGCTCCAAAGCCTGTTTCCAACACACTAGTAGATTCACTATAACCCACAACTTGCCTCGGTTGCATGTAATTTATCATACTTTATTTTTATTATTACTTTCTGACCCCCCGGTGGTCCTATATCTCTATTCACTTGGAGGTTTCTTTTTGGCCAAATGGTAAACATATATTTTTTCTTATTTTAAGACTATTTTTGAAATGGCTATGTATTTTTGGTCGTTAATCAACAAATATTATTAATTTTATATTTATATAGGTACCTCACTATAATCTTTAACAATGAAGGGACAATGAATACATACAACAGATTTAATATAAGCATCATAATATTATATTATATTAAACCTAGTTTAAAATATCTTTATTATAATAATTATAAAATATTCATACTCAACTCTGAATAGCTTGTGCACGGTATTATATTATGCTATCTGATAAGAATTTAAGTCGTGAGACCCACGAAATCATAATAAGATTACGTACCTATAATCTTAAAAAAGTGTTATTAAAGATACCTAATTTAAATTGGCTATCAATTATTATAAAGTTTTAAGATTAAAGCAGTTGAAGCTCCCTATATTTGTTGTTTTAACCTAATAAGTAAATTGTAAATGGAAGATATGTGTTTATGTACCTAGTACCTACCTATTTGTGCTTTTCTATGTCCGATTATTGTTGTGATTACCTATGTATGAATCGATTAACTGTTATTATCAAAATTACATGTAAGAGAAATATTTTTTTTATATTTTATTTAACAAGTCTAAAAATCAAAACTATTCAAAAAAAGAAAATATTATTTTCAGTTGTATTTAGGTTAGGTTATCTAAATATTAAGTTGTAAACGTTAATATTTCCTTAAATACTCTAGTTAATTTAGTGAGTTAGTGGTTCTCAATCTTTGTAGGACCGAGACCCAAATTTCCCCCGAAAAATCTTTCGTGAACCACATTGTTTCACTTTTCAATAAGTAGTAAAAAACAAAATTTGTTTTATATAAATATGTATACATTTTTATTAGATACTTAGTATTTTATAAGTTAATAATTAATATAAATAAAAATATAGTTAATATAATTAAAATGTCACTTTTAATAATGAGGTACCTATCATACATTTTTTGGAATCTATATGCTTCAAAAAAATGTTCGAGACTCACCAAAAATTGACCGACGACCCACTAGTGAGTCGCGACCCACACTTCGAGAAACTCTGAGTTAAAAGGTTGATGAATTCTTATCGTATGACAACATTTAAATCAGTCTATTGCACTAGCATCTAGAGGTTTTTGAACGGTAAAAAAGGCACCTACAGATACGGTTGTATAATTAATTCGGACCTCAACAACTTGAAATCCTTGATAACTCAAATTTTTTCTTGCACCCTGAAGTATTTTTAAGTTGCATTCTATTCGGTGAACGGGGTTTTATAACACATCGTTTTGCACCTACCGTGCACCATAGTTTTTACTTTTTATAAATACTTAAATACTTAAGTACTTATTTAAAACAAAACGATAAACTCGAACACTTCAACGAAACAAAACGATATCTACTATACAGGTAGTGACACCAACAACAACGAAATCAACTTGATTATTTTAAATATTTTAATAACTACGCGTGGTATTAGTTGTGCTAAATTCTGTTACCATACCTAAAATATAGATAGGTAATACTATGTTTTATTCTGAAAATTGTTTTGGTCGGTATCTTGAATTTGGGTTCACTACTTTATAACCTAGGTAATACATAACTATGAAAATCTTAAGTAATTACCTATCTATTCTATTTATAGAGAATTGAAGAATTCTGTAAGATAATACTGGAATACCTAATAGATTATATAGGTAAGTATTTATCTCATATTGTTTGTGTCTATATGAACTTTACTTACTATTATAATAATATTTTAATTCATGATACAGGTTACAGGTCCGCCACGATTCACGAACTATATGAAAATAAAATAAATAGTACATACTACGTATAACATATATATAGCATGAATTAAATTGTATTTTTAAGTTTTTGTTTGATAATAACAATTATAATTGTTATCACCACGGACTAAGATAGTCAAGTCACGAATGGATCTTCGCAGGAAAAAAATGTTTGTGTCCGTATATAATATTGCCTACATTTAGCCCCTTTTTTGCAGTTATCAAAATGTGATAACATTGATAAACCGATAACATAATTTTCATTATAAATTATAATTAAAATAGTTAAATGTAGTTAATAAGTTATTAAAAAACACAACATCGTAATTTAAAATTTAAAAATACACAATTCATTGAGAATACAGTATAAATGTACAACCTATTTACGTAGAACATTATTTTAAATTTTCAATCTTTAGCAATAAAAGTTAAATTATATAATGAAATTTTAAATTTGATAAATATTCTCAAAATTCGAACTATACCCAGATAGCAATTGTGTAATGATATTATTATTTTTACAGTACACAAATATTGTTATAAAAATAATGTTATTAAAATAACATAACTATTCAACTAACATAATATTATTTTATAGATATTATAATAAAATTATTTTTTATGTATGGTAATAATAATATTATTTAACAAATATAATAATCAAGCTATTATAATAAAGAAAGTATATTATTATAATTATTATGAATCTTGAACATAATTTAATACCCTTTGAATAGAAATCAGTATAGATAGTAGTATAGTATCTATACTTACAAACGAATCAAAACCTATGCAAACTGAAGATATAAATACAATTAAAATAAAAAAAAATATTGAAAAACAACCTCGTTTCTTTACTAAAAATAAAAAGAAATAAACTTGAATTTCATCAATTGTCGTCGAGTGAAGGTAATATAATAAGAAAATCCTTACTAAATAATACAAGTGTTTTAAATGTTCATTCATATGACGATCATTCTTATAGCGCTAAAAGAAAATGAATTCATTAATATATTGTTGCATTGTATCTTTTAAATGACGATCGTAAGTGAATAAAGAATATTGTGTTTTTTTTTAAATTGTGTTTTATGAAATTTATTAACTATTAATGTATTTAACTATTTTAATTATAATTTATAATGTAAAAATATTATGTTAGTTGGATAGTTACGTTATTTTAATAACATTATTTTTTACATTTATACTGTATTCTCAATGAATTGTGTATTTTTAAATTGTAAATTACGATATTGTGTTTTTTAATAACTTATTAACTACTAATGTATTTAACTATTTTAATTATAATTAATAAAATAAAATATAATATTATAATTTATCATTTATAATGAAAATGATGTTATCGGTTTATCAATGTTATCACATTTTGAAAACCGCAAAAAAGGGGCTAAATGTATGCAATATTATATACGGACACAAAAAAATTTTTTCCTGCGAAGATCCATCCGCGGTTATCTCAGAACAAAATGCTGTTATCAATGCTCGACGGTGATAAGAGATTAATATTAGTGATAACTCTCTAGTGCCTGACGCCGTCACGCCGACACTCGACAGCAGATGTCAGATAGTATTGTTGTTGCTAATTTATGAATTAATTTTGTTATGACTTATATGATTTATTAATCGTCGTTAGCTTTTAATATGACTGAAATGGAAAACTTTTATTTAATTATTACTATTTTTTGTGGTTTATTCACAGTAATTAATTGTACAAGTATAGTGAAGCCTAGGGGTATCGCATTCGAACGTAAGGCTACTTACATATTATCATAATATTTGATACTTTTTAAGACTAATTCTTAACTAATAAGAACAACATTCAATGAAATTACTATTTATTTTCTTTAGGAGCTTCACTTTATGTACCCGACAAGGATTTTTCATGTTTTGATGGAAGTTATATAATTCCTTTTTCATTTGTAAATGATGATTACTGTGACTGCCCAGACGCTAGTGACGAACCGGGTACATCAGCTTGTCCTAATGGCACATTCCATTGTGCCAATGCTGGTCACACGTCACTTGTCATACCATCATCTCGAGTAAATGATGGAATTTGTGGTATGATTATTATTAATTATAATAAAGTTTGTACACATTTCAAAAATGTAACACTTTTTTACTTAAACAACACTTTAACACATTATTTCTACAATGTATTATATGATATAAAGTGTAATAATTTAATCAAAACATTGATATATTATAAAATAAGCTAATATTTAAGAAAAGGCTTATTCTAAGAATTTTTATCAACACCACATTTTGTTTAACAAATTTTGTAGTAACAAAATATTCATCGATATTTTTATGTTCTTGCTAAAAATTAGGCAAAGTTTCTACTATGTCTTGGCATTTAACACTTATAGATCTATTTTTTCGTGACATACAAATTATGCTTACAGGATTACCGTTTTTCTTGAAAATAATTTGAATTTAATTAATTTTATACTTTTTATTGTTTTTCTATCAGTAATTGTAAGTTCATCTTCGAATACAATTTCTCTACAACTGACTCAGTATATTTAACGTGATCCAAAACCATTATTTTAACACTTTGAATAGTTTGAACTAGGCACCCAGAAAGGGAAGGGGGCTGTAGGACTTGTAATACAGTTATCCGGCTATTTTAGGGGCTCTTAGAATGAAATTGTAATTTTTGAAATTTTAATAGGAATATATAATATTTTATATTAATTAATATTTTATGTAATAAATATGTTTATTAAAATATATCAAGTAATTTAGTTATGTGGATTAACACCATTGATTATCTAGAAATAGTGTATGGGACACCCGTATCGCTTGTAATGGGTTGTATTTTATTGGACATTTTGTATTGGGCCCACAAAAATATTTAGTACAGGAGCCCAAAATTTGATGTGGGCGCCTCATTTGAACTACTATTTACTGTCTTATATTATTAATATAACAACAATTTATAAAAAACCAATTAAAAACTGTATTATCAAATTCACATCTAGCTCTTCCAAATACGCAAAATATGCCTAACTGCGCTTTAGAATAAGCTCCGATTTAAGACCAACGGTATACACAGAATCTGATGATATACCGCCGTTGAGCTCAATAAAATATACATTTTTTATTTATTCTTAACTACAGACATTCATTATTGTAATAATGTGAACTGATATAACATTTATACAATTTAAACTTTCCTTAAAAATATTATTAAAACTAAATATTTTTTCGATATAGATTGTTGTGATGGCTCGGATGAATGGGCAAATAGTTTAATGAAAGGTACATGCGATAACACGTGTGAAGAACTTGGCCGAGCAGCAAGAGAAGAGGCAGAAAGAGTACAAAAAATATTTATGGCCGGTCATGAAATACGTGCTCAATTAATTGCTAAAGGAAAGGAACTTAGACTGGAAAAACAAGTAAATTAATTTTATCATTAAAAAAATGTTTTATAATACCTAATATCTAATGGCCAAACTTGTTAATACTACATAGTAGTTAACATAAAACCCGTTACTTAATCATTTTTTTTCTTAATAGAACAGAATCACTGAACTTTTTGAAGTACAGAGAGATGCAGAACTCGCCAAAAATAATACATTATATGCTAAAGAAACAGCCGAAGAAATTGAGAAGTCTGCATTAGAAAAATATAAAATAATGAATGATGAAAAAAAAAGACAAGAAAATGAAAAAGAAAAACTAAGAGACCAAAATGAAGCTTTTGAAATTTTTAATCATATTGATACAAATAGAAATAACAAGTATAATTTTTAATTTGAATTATACAATATTTGAAAAATAATTACATTTTAAATATTATATGTAGAATTGAAGAAGAAGAAGTAGATGCATACTCTACTTTTGATCAGAATAATGATGGTGCAGTTTCACAAGATGAAAAAGATGTAAGTTCTTTTATTATTTTAAAAATGTAAATATTACAAAAGCCATACAGCAATGGTTAAGATATTGTTGTAGATGCTGGTTTATATTTTACTTTTTTTGCTGTTCTTTGTAATTTTATTTTTAAGTAATAAGGTATTTTAAAAATGGCCTGTCTAAATTATCATCTGGAAAAAGGATAAGTCATAATAAAAATAATATATCTCCAAATAAATTTTTAATTAACTAACTCCTCTATGTGGAGATACAACCAAATCCATTATATCTCATTATTGATGCTTATTTTATTTGGTTAAGATTCTAATTAACCCTTTTATTTATATTCTGAATACATTTTTAAATAATGTTATATGTTGATTATACTTGCATGATATAAAAAATAATATATTTTAACACTTATACTCTGCCTCAAAAGAGAACAACTACTTTTTGCGCATCGTAAATAATACGATTGGCGTGTCAAGAACCACATCTCGCTTAAATCTGGAAGTTGATGGAAATGTGCTGATGTAAATCGGTCAGCAGACTGATTATTCTCTTTTGAGACAGGGTATAGATAAAACAGTAATGTATACACTATACAATACTAAATTGTTTCATTTATTTATCTTAATTGTTCATTTAAACCTTTATTAACTGTTTTCAGTATTTTATGGAAAACAAAAAAGAGATTAGTTTAGAAGATTTCATGTTAAATGGTTGGAGTCGTTTAAAGCAATTAATACTTGCTGAAAATGTGGATGTAAAAGAAACTGAGCACCCAGCTGATGACTTAGAAAATGATAAACAACTTGAAGAAGGAGAAGATCAAGATGAAGATGAAAGTGAAACTGTGGAAGAGGAAGTTAAATATACAGAATCTGAAGAACTTGATGAATCACAGTATGATGAAGAAACAAAACTTATAGTTGAAGGCAAGTGTTAAAATTATACATGTTTAAAGGTTATTGTTTAATAAACTATAATGTATTATTATTTATTACATTAATTTAAATTTAATTATTACTTAAAACTCTAACTACGCTAAACCATTCTAAGCCAATAAAAGCCTAATATGTCTGACTTACCGACAATGGTTTTAGTAGACCTGTTTTTAAATTAACTTGATAGAACTAAATTTAAAGTAAATTATTTTATAGAAATTTACTTAAAAATTATTTAACATAATTCTGAAAGTGCTTAAGAGGACGTGATACCTGCATGTGTTGTCTCCGTCTTACAAGTGCGTAACATAGCAAAATGTACACTCAGCAGAACACATGTAGCTCCGTTAATTTAAAAATTAAAGTGAACTGACCTCTTATAAAATCTAAAGGTAAGATTATTATCTAGGCAATCCCATAGGCTTTTTATTATATTTTTATTTTAACGCGAGTTATAAGTATTTTAAGATGTATAAAATATTTACAATTTTAAAATACTTATAACTCCTGTTAAAATAAAAATATAATAAAAAGCTTATGGGGCTGCCTAGATAATAATCTTACCTTTAGATTTTATAAGAGGTCAGCTCACTTTAATTTTTAAATTAACGGAGCTACATGTGTTCTGCTGAGTGTACAATTTGCTATGTTACTCACTTGTAAAACGGAGACAACACATGCGGGTATCACGTCCTCTTAATTATTGTATTTTAAACTAAAATGTATTATTCATATGTTTTTACCATACATTTCTGAATGGTTGATCATCATTCATTATAATAATAATTATATTTTAACAATTTGTATTCAATAAATATCTAGACTAAATTCTTACACGTCTTGTAAAAGTTTAAAAAAATTTATATTTTTTATATATATGTAATTATATTTCGAAAATTCAAATTATGTTTACTAAAATATATTTTATTGATACAACCCATTATAAAGTTAATAGAATTTTACTGTGCCCAACATTTATATTGTAAATTAATTAGTTTCGCCTCAAAAGTCATTGTTTTTATAATACAATTCTAATCTTACAGAATAACATAAAATAAAAAACATAAATGTATTATTATTAACTGTACATCAAGTTCATGTTGTAAATTCTAAATATTTGTTTGTGTTATTGAGTTAAACAGTAATGTAATACTTTCAAATAATGAGTAGTCTTACCTAAAATCAATTATTCCGTTGACCGCGGACTTCAGTATGTATTTTTAAATAATTGTTTATTTGTTTACTTTTTATTTTAGAAGCCAAACAAGCACGTAATGCATTTGAAGAAGCTGATAGGAAATTTAGAGACTTACAACGTGAAGTAACTCATTTACAAGAATCCCTAAATAAAGATTTTGGTCCAGAAGATGAATTTGCAGCTTTGGATGGAGAATGCTATGAACTTTCTGATCGTGAATATGTGTATAAATTATGTCTTTTTGATCAAGTATGAATTTTTTTTGAACTGTCATAATGTTTCTACTACAATTTAAAAATATAAATTTTTCTTATTCAATTATCATAGATAACTCAACGATCCAAAAATGGTGGATCTGAAGTAAGATTGGGTACTTGGAACAGTTGGATTGGTGAACCGAAGTACCGTACTATGTTATATGATAGAGGACAACACTGTTGGAATGGTCCTCAAAGATCTACTCACGTAAGCATATTTTAATCTAAATAATTAACTTGAAGTAGTATTTAACATTTTAAAAATAAATATTATGTGTTATATTAAATGTCAAAAATAGGTACGTTTAAATTGTGGCTTAGAACCAGCATTGCTCTCAGCTACAGAACCAAATCGTTGTGAATACGCTATGGACTTTGTTGTACCAGCTGTTTGTGTACAGCACAATGAGAGGCCTTCGGCACCTGTAACAGATGCTGAACATGATGAATTATAATTTTAATTAACTTGTAATAATTCATTAAATTTGTGTCAACTGTTTTTGGGGTATTTAATATGAAAATGTATATGTTCATTATTATTTAAAATCAATGTACTTTTATTTAATATAATTTTTTTTTAAATATAAAATTATAAGATTAATTTAAAACTTGTTTCTATTAAAATAAAATAAAATTGTGATTGATAGTTTAAACCCAAGTAGTCATAAAATGAACAAACTTAAAAATTGTAAAGTTCTATATATGGTTTTTAATTTAAGGTGTATCCTATATAATATTGTTTTGTTATAAAATATTTTTACAAACTATTAAAAATATTTTAACTATAAATAAAAGAACAAATAAAGATAGAATACATTAATTATAATACTTAAATTCAAGTTATTTCTCTTTTGTTTTTATTCATAATAATAATGTTGATTTAGTTTATTTGAACATAATAATGTAGTGTCTACTAGCTTTTGTGTACCTAACGCTACTTATTTATTTAAAATCAGTCATTGACTAAATTACCATGTTTAAAAGTTTAAACAGAATATGTAGCAAGGCGCTTTATTTATATTTATTTATGCTCCCCTTGGTTCCAACAGAAAGTTAACTATATTAATTTGTTTTTTTTCCTTAATAACGTTAAAAATCTAAGTATTTTAAGTTATTAAAAATATACATAACTTATCTAAGGTAATAAAAATTTGTTCGGATTAAGAATTCTAAACAAAAAAAAGGTAATGAAGCAAAATGTACCATAGTATAACCCACTACCCAAAAACCTGCTATTTTGTATAGATATTTAATATTTATTTAAGATTGTTTATTGTGGTTGGATTTTTGTTTACCGTAAGATAATTAGCAGTGGCCAGTGGGTCTTCTTTGACTTTTTTTCTGTATGATTATCAAAACAAAAGGTACATTTTACCGGAAGGTCCTTGATTGAGTTTTCATAATATATGTGTTAGAATTATGTGGTTCACCATTGAACTAGAGACTAATGATTTCATATATTTTGTTTTTTTTTTAATCTTTAATTTTTACTATCCTTCAGCAGAGAAAGTATAATTCAAAAATGTCCTGATCATTGGTAATGACCAGGGCTCGTAAGTTTATGCACTAAAAAAAGCACAAATAAGCATGTATTCATACACTAAAAATTGGCGAAATATGCATTAAAATATGCACTAAAAAGTTTGAAAATATGCATTTAAATGCCCTTACATTTTTAAATTATGTACTAAAAATATGCATTATGTAAATTATTTATGAGTAAATTTTAAAATAATAAGAATATATCCATTAATTTTAAAAGTATTTTATTCCTTTTAATTTTTATATATTTAACAATCAAAATTAATAAAATTAATACTTGTGAAGTTCATATAATCATATGGATTTGTCATCTTTATTAATTTTATTTAGGTAGTCATTTTTTGTCTAATTTTTGTACACCATTGTCCTGCACCTACAATGAAAATATTTGGAATGAAATATTAATTATTTGACATTTTCACGGCTCGTACAGTTAAACAACTCATCGGCGACTGGCGTGTGCAAGAAAACTATACTGTACCAGTCTATAAAATTGTAGATGCGGATTGGTAAGAAACATTGTACAGGTGTACATACTTGTACAGGTATCGTTTTGACGAGGGACTATACACGGCGGAGGATGGTAGTGGTAACTATAAAATTGTTTCCGTGGTACTAAGTAAAACGCATAAAATCTAAATAGGGAAATACTAGAAAAGTAAGTAGTCACACGAAAATAAAAATAAATCAAAACACTATCATTCAGTAAACAGGAAAGTAAATAAGAAACAAGAACCATTTCAAATATTTTTCTAAACAATTCTTTTAAGAAATAATATACGCTATAAACTCTAAAAAAAACGATTATAGGCTAAATATGCCTTTATACCCAAAACATGCAAAAACATGCACTATTAAACTTCATATTATTATTCCTATTGTTATGAAACGGATTTGTATCTCAGTTGGCATATTTTTCTGTGTAGCAAAAAAAACATGCAAATGCATGAACTTACGAGTCCTGGTAATGACTTATAAGTCTAATAATGTTTAACTAGTATTTCAAACAAATAATCCCGTTCCTCAATAATTCATCATAAATTCAATTGAAGCAATAGAGCGAAGATCTACCACGACTAGGCAATGGTGTATCATGGAGGTGTTAAGTGTAAAAATCCATTTTTTTTTTCTGTAAGGTACTTAAGGTACATAACGGCTATAAATAAGTTGGGATTGAAAGTTCTGAATTGTTTGAGGTAGTTTTAAGGAGCTGGGGATTGGGGTATGCAGGAAGTGCAGCCACACAAGGCCTTGCACTTTTTTATTGGGCTTGGGGGACCTCCCCTTTATCAATTGCGCAGGGCCTCATAAATCCTATTACAGGCACTGGTTGGTTTCAAGGCATCTTATTAGTACACGGAAATCTTGGTAATTATTTATAATTGATGTTAAATTATTATCATATTTAATCAGATGCACATCATGAAGAAATTATAGCTCAAAACAATATTTGTATTTGTTTAGTGGAGAACTAAGAGAATAGGATATGTTGGGATTCCAAAAATTTAAGTTTAACAAAACAATTTACAGAAATATATATTTATTATATAATATTGTGTCAGAAATATACAAAAATAATAAAAAATGGACAATATTTATAATCAAACATTATAAGTAAAGACTGGCTGCAAATACAATATCTCTTTTAACAATCTTAACAGATTCACTGAATTTATTTTCAAGGTCAGTGTTGCCAATACTTTTGGATGCTTGGATTAATTGTCTCAATATTTCTTCTAAACGTCTCATTGCTCGTATTATACTTCCTGAAATTCCCAAATTTGTTAAGAATATTATATTCATGAACATTTGAATGATACTCAACACAACATGCAGGAGTAAAAAAATATATGGTCTGGAATTATCACATCCGTCAGAAGGTGCGTTGTCAGACAGTAATAAAGTTGTTTTTATTTGTAAAGGGGGATTCAATAGTTTTTTGTCATTATAATAATCATGAAACTCACAAATAATTCCTATGAAACGTTTTTTAAAACCAACTTTTAAACTAGTATATAAAAATTTAAAAATACTTTCAAATTTTATTTATATTCATATAAATATTTCTTATGTAATTAATAAATTAATATACATTTACATATTCGTATTCTTATGAGTTGAGATAACATTGATATTTTATTATTGATATAATATAAGTATAACAAATTCAAAAGTATTTTTATTAGTTGTATATTCTAGGAAACAGATGTATTCAATTGAGAACAATTTGGTCTTAGAAAATGTTGTTCTATAGTAATTATTTACAAGTTTAAAATTTAGATTATAATAATAATAATCAAGAAATTCCCTATCCTTTACATGAAAAAAACGACCACTACTACCGGTGCGTATTTTAGCAGATGCGATAATTCTGGACTACTTTTATAAACAGTTTGGAGTCTTTCTCTATTGCTCATGTTCATATTATAAATAAATGATTAAAATGCAATTTACCTTCAAATATATCAGTCATTTGACATATTTGGTAGAAAGTGGCACCTCGACACCACTCATAACAAACATCCATTAAAAATGGTTTAAAGCCTTCAACATAGGTATCTTCTTCAATATCTAATTTAGCATCTTTACAAACTTTAGCTATTTTTCTTGCAAGTTCCTTAAAAATAATTTTTTATCTTGTTGTTATAAATGATAACACAAAAACAATTATGAGATTCCTCAAGTATCCTGATATACAACAATATTATAAACATATATAAGTATAACTATTTGCATACCTGCATTTTTCTTAAAGGCCCTGCTAATTCAGCAGTTTTTGCAGGCAATTCATTACTTTTTTCATCACATACAAAACAACTAAGTAATGCCACCGTCTGAGGTACTGATAAATCATTAAACACACCATTGAACATTAATTCAGTCATTAATAGTTCATCAGCACTTTAACATATAAATATAATTAATTCATTACTTTTATTCAATTGTTATTACAAATGTAATTTACCTGCTTAATTCACATGCTATTCTCCCTTTAGTTTCTATAACTTCTCCAGCGGTACAATAGCCCATTCGCCTCAATATACGTTTTCTACATTTGAGATCATCCATTTGCATAAGTGATCTGGCTTTCTTTAATTCAGTTTTAGATTTTAAAAGTTCTCGATCTACCTGTTATAAAATGTTATTTTTAAATTGTTTAATTAAATAAAAAATAAAAATTGTTTAATACTTTGTCTTTTTCCAAATATTGGTTATAAAGTTCATCAACATCTTCTTTTTCATGTAATGGATGAGCAAATAATCTACTTTCAAATTTTTCAATTTGATCAATAACTTTATCAAACTCTGGATCTTTGATATGCATGTCATTAATTGGATCTAACAAAGGAATATCAGTTGAGCATCTTTGTAAAACTTCCTAAATAAAATTACACACATACAAGTTTAATGATATTTATGATTTTTTATCGAATAGTAATAACTTTTATTTTATTTCAGAATTGAATAACTTACTTTTACATTATTATACAGCAACATTCGAGAATCACGAGATTTTAAATCATTTGGCAGTTTGTTCAATCGCAAAGAACTTAAATCTTCAACCATGTTATGTCTGATATTAATAATTTCAGGTTCTCCTAACTTCCCAGGAGCACAAGGTATTGGCTCTTCTTCTGTTTTTTCAACAGATCGTTCTAAATTTAATAGCACATTTAATATTGCTTCACCAATACCGCCACCTTCATGTTTACTCTTCATTACAGATTTAAAATTGATAATAACACCCCAGCCAAAATCTATATCGTTCTTCTTGATCTAAAATAATTTAAAAATATATATTATAATTATATATTAAAACATTTATTTTGATTGAATTAACTATACTAGTAAGTAATGAAATACTCAAATACACATCAAATTATGAAATAAAAACCTATTTGACACGAATAATTTTCTTAGTCCAACAATTAGTGCAAATGACCATAATTTAGAAGTGAGTCATCCAGAGTTATATTAACAATTGTAATATAAAATATA